AAAGGAGGTTGTTTGGGGTCAAGGTATGGGATTCACTGAAGGGTGCAGCGATTGGGGACTTCGATTCTGTGAAATGGGCTCGCGGTGCTACGGTTGATGATATAAATCCTGCACTACCCATAATAAGGAATATACCATAGTTCCCATAGTTTAGGCTCCTTAAGGTAATGCAGGATTTCTATCATCAACCGTAGTAGTGTTGTTCAGCGGTTGCTCTGGGTCAGAGTGTTACATGTTCAGCCCCCAGCTCCTTAGGATGCCCAGTAGTACCCTTATTCCCTTTTTAAAGGGATCTATAAGGGTTCCTTAAAGGGATCTATAAGGGTTCTATAAAGGCTTTAGGGTTTCCGAAAATTAGGGCCTAGGATGCCCAGTAGTACCCTTATTCCCTTTTTGTAGTCCTAGGTTCCTTATAAAGTTACCCAATACCAAAAAGAGAGGCCTTTTTATTCTTAGGTTACTGGGTATCCTAGCTCCTTAAACCCTCAACCCAATACAGAAGTCCGGCTTGAATCAACGACAAAAATGTGTTTTTAGGAGTTTAGGGTTCAGGGGTTCGGGTTTAGGAGTCCCAAGTATGTGGCAGCTTAATTACACCCAAATCCTATTCTAAATCATTCGGTCAACTAAACCCTAAACCCTAACCCTAAACTTACCAAGACTTTGCAAAACTAAACAGCATGTGAAGCCCTAAAGCCGGATTCATCCTCCGGAGGTTCCGCCTTTGCTACAAGTTCCGCGCTTCTTGCGGAAGGATATCCCTGGAGATCCTCCTCTGCCTCGGGCTTGTGATTATCGGAGCTGTGACTCGGTTCGAGGTTTAGGGAGTGAGGGCTTAGGGTTTAGCAGTTTAGGCGTTTGAGGGTTTGGGGTTTAGGGTTTAGGGAGTAAGGGCTTAGGCTTTAGGGGTTTGAGGGTTTCGGGGTTTAGATTTATGGCTTCGGGTCTCGATAGGGTGGGATTGGGGTCTGACTCTTGGGGGTGGTAGCTTGCAAGGTGTCTCTAGATGAGGCTGTAAGGCGGTGGCGTTGTGTTGTCAAAGGGGAAAAGGAGGGACCCCTACCCTATATATATATATATATATATATAATGGGGCTATATAATGGGTATATAATAGCGGTATGAAGGATTTATGCCTAGGGGTCCTCATTAATGGTCCCTCCTTTTACCCTTGGAGTTAGTGCACGCTTTCGAAACAGGCAAACGAGAGCCCCAGCGTTGTTCGTGGCTCGGTGATCGTAGCGGGATCGTGCATGCATTACTAACGCACCTAACTTCAGTGAGTCGGGCACTGCTCGACTCTCCTAAAACCTTCAACACTAGCCCCTTACACCCTAAACGTCGACCCTTCAGCCATCAACGCCTCAAATCTGTAAACTGTAAACACTCGGCTAAAAACTCGCTACCGTTTATGAAGCTCGTTGGTCCTGGAATAGAGGCGATGTATGTTGCCACAGCAGCGATTGACATCCTCTTCCAGGCCGTCTTTCCAAGCATTCCGCTGGCGAACTTTGCCCTCTGTGGCCTCTGTGGCATTGTCACTGTTGCCGTTCTGCGATATCTTTGACCCATTCCCTACGATGTTCCTTACAATGCGACTCTGTATTCAGCAAGGGCTATCGGAGTCTCTGAGAAACCATGCCGAAAATCAAAAGCCCCGAATCGTAGCACCGGTTGGTCTCGGGCGCTCGATCTGGACCACCAGGGAAAAAACATGGGGGTGGGGTGGGCTCCGACCTGGAATGTTGTGTTGTTTGCTACGTTTCTGTTTACTTCTTCTCTGAAGCAGAATCCTGTAGACCTATATCTACGGTTGATGATTGATGATGTAAACCCTGCATCACCCATAAGAAGGAATATACCATAATTCCCACATATTCCCCATTATACCATAATTCCCATATATTCCCGAATATTAGGGACCGACTTGGACTGGTAGATGCTGGGTTGCGAGTCCTCCTTGCTGGGCTTACGCAGGACGAGGCCCCAGCCCCACCCCTGCCCGCCAAACAAGCTTCGCTTTTGAAAGTGCTACTCTGCTTAGAGGATCAGGAGACTGGCCAGAGGCTACAGCAATGGATCTAACACCCTAAAACCCTAAGCCCCTAAACTTACTCTGAAGTTACCCGTTGTACTACCCTCTGTGTCACCTCTTGTCAGGTCCGTAGTCCTTCAAAGGCAGATTTTCCATGTGCATTGAACCTTGTTTGCCGAAGGCACAAGGTTTTGCCGTTTGAAGCCAGGTCTGTTTGCGATGATTTGAGGACCCAGAATCTTGGGTTTCAGTCCGAGGTCCATCTGCTTGATCACGGTCCTGTTTCCCCAATTCCAGTTTGAGGAATAGCTAGGTTTTGGGGTTTGGGGCTCAGGGTAGTTTACGTCAAAATTTGGATTTTTTGCCACTGGCAGTTTAGGCTATTAGGATATAGGCTTTTAGTTTTGGTTTAGGCAATAATTCGGGTTTGTTCCCACTGGCAGTTCAGGGGATATAGGGCCTTGGTTTTGGATTTGGGGTGGTTCAAGGAATGCTTAGGGTTCAGGGTGTTTGGAGTGTAGGGACGAGTTTTTGCAAAGTGTCTTTCCGATTAGGGCCCCTACGGTTGATGATATAAAATCTGCATTACCTTAAGGACCCCAAACTATGGGAATTATGGTATATTGCTTATTATGGGTAATGCAGGATTTATATCATCAACCGTACGACAAGGACCGCCCGCAGCAGAGGACGGACGGGCTAAACACTGTTCCAAAACATGCAGAAGACTCGGCGTGAGGAACCGACAATTTCTGATGACTGCCTAATCCAGGGGCCTTAATAATTACCTAGACACCATTTTGCGGGTTCCTTATTATAATTATAGTATAACGGGACCCACAACCCTTTTAGACTTATTACAAGGCCCCTATTTTTAGCAGATTCTGCACGAGGCGCTTCAAACATCAAAAAGCGCAAGCACCTGACTGGATTATAGACTTGCAGAAAACCACGCACTTACGGCGGTGCTTGTTGTCGGCTGGTAGCGATGTACAAGGTGCCACGATGCAGTTCCAAACATTACCCCAAGGACCCACAAAGCTACCGAAACTTACCTTCTTTGTAAGATCCCTATAACTTCTACACTAGGGTTTCTCATATGAACCTACAGAAAAGGAAGCCATGTTGAACCCAGCTGGCCTGTCTCCCGTACAGCGAGTCCCTATAACTTTCATCACTGCAGCTTCTCGCAGGTGGGTGGAAACGGTTGCGGGGGGCCGTGGACCCCATAATTCAAGTAAATAACTACCAATGCTCTTCCTTAGGCTTCCTTATATTATAATTAATACCCACGCGGATGAGTACCAATATTCTTCCTTAGGCTTCCTTATACAGTAATGAACATAATACCCAAAGAGGAACCCAACATCTTGTTTCTTATTATTACAGGGAACTCCAGAAAGTTGGAATATGGTTTCATGGTAGGATACCCTATAATTTACCATAGAAGGGTTAGGATAATCATATTCCAACTTTCTGGCTTTTACCCTAAGGCCTCCCTGGAGGCTTGAAGCCGCCGTGTCCGAGTATCCATTGTCTTTTGGAGGTTCAGGTCTTCGGATGTATGAGTTCACCGCAATCTGCAAGTAAAAGCCGTAACCAAGGCATGCCTAATATTTGGGCCTAAATAATTACCAACACTATTTTGGAAGTTCCTTTTTATAATTACAGTATAAAGGGCCCCAAAACCCTGTTCTAATTACTACGGCCCCTGTATTGCGGCACTCCGTGCACGCCACCAAATGACAATGACCCAAAAATAAACAGTTTCTAGTTTCTGGTATATTTAAGCTGCAGCCTCTACAACATAAGCCTTTAAATCGCCAGCCATAAGCAGTAAACCCTAAACCTTGCGGCTGCGATGTCGCATGCTGGGAAGCCGCGATTCAGTCTTGGTCTTAGCTTTGGATGACTGGCAACGATTGAATATAGAGGCCTGGAAAATTAGACTAGGGCTCGTTTAGGCAAGGGGGTCTACTAGGTGGTGTCAGCCAGGCTTTGGTTCCGGAGTTTAAAAGTTCGTGGTTGAGGGTTTAGGGCTCCCACAACGGAACCGCTACCGTCCTTGTTGAACACCAACAGGGGCCCTCCTCCCACTAGGGCACTGCGATCTTCACTTCTAGCTCTGCATTTCGATCCTTGACCCTAAACATACAAGACAACGAAGCCATCAACACCCGGAGACGAATCAAATTTTGAACCGCGAACCTTGCGGTGAAGCTAGAAGACTTCCTGAAACCGTTTCCCAGCCGAAATGGTTCTTTGGTGCAGGTGGGCAGACCTGCAACGTTGTGCCCTGGCCGGCTCAGACAGTTTGGGTTTGGCTTGGGACTTTAGGGGGGGGGGGGGGGGGGGACCCAAAACCCTAAACCTGCTCACTGCTTAGTTCCTGCTCTGTTAATTAAAGGTCCCGTAAGGCAAGTGTACGGCGGCCGTTAAACCCTGATGTACCCATGAGCTGCACAGTAGCTCCTGTTTGGTATTTACCTTGTAGGACCCTAATAAGTATAAACCACAGAAGCGAACTACAATGGAGCCTAGGGCCTACGGGTAGATTATGGAGCTAGTTGTCTATGTTTACTAAAGTAGAGCGGCCATGCTGACCTTGGACCGTCAAAGAACTTTTGGCTATCGTCGATAGTTATCCGTGACATGCGTTGTATTCGCGTGCTTCTTCTTCGGTGACACCTAACAAAGTCAGAGCAAGAAATGCACCGGAAACCTTAGCGTCATCTTGTAAAGCTAGGCCAGCCCAAGATACCCGGGGCAAAACTTGAAACGTCGTTGCTGCCACGGGCTTCACACACAGTCATATATATATATAGATTGGAATGACAAATACGCAACATACAGTATACATAGTATGTAACATGTGGCATGTGGCACATTTTATGTGATTGCTTCCGTTCGGAGTGCACCAGGCCCAAACATCGTTTGTTTTCTTGAGAGCTCGCCACTCTTCAACATGGTGATGTTGGAGTGTGCGACCGTCGCGGTTTCAGTTGCTGCCTCCAAGCTGTTGGACAAGATTTTGCCCAAATCAGCGAAAGACGACAAGACTGTGGATGAAATGAGACACGAGATGGCCATGTACTTCCAAAAGCATGGATGGATGCTCCAGAAGTCCCCATTTCTGAAGCTCACGCTTGTCATCCCGCAGCGCAGGGAGCAACTCTTTCAGATACTGTCGGATCCCAGGCTCGAAGGTTGCCCACTCTTGCACGAGTGGCTTCGAGTCAGGCTTGCAGAGGCGTTGAACTTGCCTTTGCAGGGCAAGTTGACGGACCACGCCTTCATCTGCGACCATAGGGGCAATGTCTCTGAACATGTCTTCGGCCTGATTTCCGTGCAGGTCGCCGGCATGATCGATTTCTCGGAGTTGGGAAAGGACACATGTCTAGAAGTCCATGGCAGAGTCAGAGACATGGGCGAGACTTACAGAGACGTTGCTAAGGAACTCCGCGACTTGAACATCACGGGCGAGTTCCTGCAGGAGGGGGACTTTGCACCTGAGGATCTGGTGAGCTTTCAGAACCTCAGCGGCTTGGCAAAGAAGCAGCTACGGCATCACTTCGCCAAGTACAAGCTCAAGCAAACACCCGCCCTCGTTCTGTGCATTGTCGCGAGCAGCTTGACTATGGCCTACCAAGGCGGGGTCCTTCAGAACATCAAGGAGTGCATCTTCGGTGAGGCGTTGAAAGAATATTGCGTGGACTACTTGAAGCTGCGCCTCGCCAGTGAAAAGCCGCAGGAAGCCTTGATGGATGGCAACACAACAGCAGCGTTGCGGAATGATGCGCGCAACGCAGCACAATATCAGCACGTAGACTTGCAAGAGCGCCTGAGGCTGCGGGAGTGATCTTAAGCTGAATACAGTGCTGAAGCAGTGTGGCAAGTTATGTGTTCCGTGTGTGTTTGGCAACCTCCGTGGGAAGAAGACTCGTCAGCCGAAGGAGCTTGTGTTTGTACCGTATGGTCGTATGTTGAGCATCCTAGTTGCCCCCTCGCTTTTTCTAGGTGCTGAGAGTTGCCACAAGTCCAGCAAGGCCCCCGAAGGTAGCTAGAGGATCTAGCTACCAGGTATAAAGCATTGCTTCCGGAAGCTAGATCTGCGGAGCGAGCTGAAAAGACTGTCGCGACTGTGGGAATCAGCGAAATGTCCCGTGAGGCCAGGATGTTTCGGAGCTACGTGAAAAGGGTTTAGGGTTTGAGGTTCAAGGTTTGGGCTTTAGGTTTGTTTGGGGGTTTAGTGGGTTTTGGATGTTTTACTCGGTTTGGGGTTGACCTCAAGGTCTGGGGGAGGAGTATCAGCGTCTACAGTGGTCTAGATCGCTTTAGGGTTTATAGGTGCTCATCGGGAATGCCTTCAATCATGGGTTCAAGCGCAAGGGTCTTTTTGAACTTGTGTTTTTGCTTGCTGCGGAGTTATGCTGCAGGCTTTGGTGCGGTGTGAGTAGGCTGAAATTGCAAACTGCTTCCAGTGCCATTGGGAAAGTGTTCCTGCCACTTTACCCTCCTACAACAACTTTGGGGATCTTATGGCTAAGTCGGCTAAGTATGATCCTAAAAATTTATTGGACTTTATTTGTAAAAGTATTGGGGAAGCAAGCTCCTCAAGCCTTCCACCCTAGACCGTGCCCCAAACCCTGAACCCCCAAGCCCGCAAGCCTAAAGGAGAAACCCTAAGCACTAGCCCCAAACCCCCAGACCCCGAACCCGAACCCCTGAACCCCCAAAACTTAAACCCCTCAAGTAGAAGCCAGAAAGTTGGAATATCATTATCGTAACCCCTTTAAGGTAAATTATAGGGAATCCTACCATGAAGCCATATTCCAACTTTCTGGAGTTCCCTTTAAATTGAACCGCAAAAGGTCACTTCACTGCAAGCGCCTCGAACGGTCATGGCCAGCCTCGGCCTCTCCGCGCGTGGAAAGACAAGAAGATGCTTTAATGTGTAGGGCTTTAGAGTTTAGGGTTTTCACGACTAGGATGCCCAGTAGTACCCTTATTCCCTTTTTGTAGTCCTAGGTTCCTTATAAAGTTTCCCAATACCAAAAGGAGAGGCCTTTTTATTCTTAGGTTACTGGGTATCCTAGACGAAGATAACGGCTTTGGGGTTTAGGGTTGCAACAGCGTCGTCATAGACGGATGCAGTAGTAGTAGCAGTAGCCGCTGCAGCATCAGCAGCAGGAGTAGTGGCTGTTGATTCCAACCAATGTGTGCCTCGATCATGTTTGGCAAGATGCAACACGTACCCTTGAAGCAGTTCACGAGCGAGGAACTACGGAAAATCATAGATCCCCAGTTCCCAACTTATGGTTTAGCAGGAATCGGAAAGTTTAGCAGCTCATTTCTGTGGCTGGTTGGGGAACTAAGAAACCGATCAGCCAGAACCTTGGAAGAGAGTTGTCAAACCAGGTAGTTCTCTCCAATTGCAAACCGCGCTAAGGAGTAGACCCCAAATTAGGTATACTTCTTCACTGAGGGATATTGGAAGTTCTGTTTCCAACAGTGCCTTTGAGTCCTTCTCTTAAAAGAGCATTTTTTGAGCCACGTTTGGAGATGTTAATTCGACAGTCCGACAGAGTCAGTCTCATGCCTTTCGCTGGGGGGCTCATGACCCGATGTGTTCTAAACTTTGTCGTTTTCAGAAACCGGTTTTATGGTTTACATAGTCTGTTTGGGTTTTGGGGGTTCAGGTTCAGGCTGCCGGGTTCAGGATTTTAGGTTTAGGGTTTAACACCATCGAATTCAGCGGATAGGACTCAAAAGACTGAGCAAGCGGAACACGCAGGTTCGTAACCATGGCCACGAATTACAGATGGGTGGTTGTCCACAAAACTGTACGGATGAAAGCACCCTAACAGGGACGTAAAGGGAACTCCAGAAAGTTGGAATATGGATTAATGGTAGGATCCCTATAAATTACCTTAAAGGGGTTACGATAATGATATTCCAACTTTCTGGCTTCTACTGTAAGTTAGAGAACTACGCGAACAAAGCCGAAAGCCATTCAGCTCGCTGCAGTGAAGGTGCTGAGGGGTAGCAACCCATAATATTTACACAGATTGTCGAAAATCCCTCATTGCTGAATAAATGCACCTTAGCTTATAGTAGGGTCCCTAACATGATTTCACGTATCTTCTCTATTGAATGGATATTGGAGGTTCTGAGTTGTTCGTGTCAACCCATCGAGCTGCTCAGACTCAAAGCAGGGGGAAAGAGTTGGGTTTTGGAGAGGAACATACAAAAGTCCCGTGAGCAACACCGGAGATGTTGAAGTCAAAGCCCTAAACTTTCAAATCTCCCATAAATTAAGAAACCCCTAAAACCTCTAAAATCTAAACCCCCTAAGCCTGAAACCTACAGACCTAAACCCCCAAAGTCCGAACTCCTAGAACCGAAAAAGGCATGAACTTGTGAACACTAAATGAACTTCTCACAACGACCCTTGTGGAATCCTTACTTAAGGGTCACCGAAGCAAGCCTGCTATAGAACCCTTAAACTCTCAGCCCCAAAATCTCAAACCCCAAAACAGCCAAGACCCCGACACCTCAGATGCCCTAACCTCGACGTTTGCTCGCCATGGGCTGCGGTGCTTCGGCCGACAAGGTCTCCGCGGTGTTTCAGTTTTGTTCCGTTGTTCTTCCTTTTTCCAAAGGCGGCTCTTGAGAATTCAGGTTCTCTAAAGGTTTAGCGCTAAGGGGCAAAATGTCGAAAGGGTTTGGGGTTGAGATACTTTTGGGGTTAGGGTTTAGTGTTTACGGTTAGCTTGCGCAGCGTATGCTCTTACAGTAGAAGCCAGAAAGTTGGAACATGATTGACCTCGTTCCCTTAAAGCAAAGTATAAGGAATCCCAGCATGAATCATCCTAGATCTATGTTCCAACTTTCTGGGGTTCACTATAGTTGGAGGGGGCGAAACCTACAGCTCCTCAAAGGCTGACTCAAAGGGACGGAAAGAAAACAGCACAGTTTCGAGAGAAATAATGCGGTAGGAGCAGCGATTTCCGTATTTAGTGTTGAGGGACGGGGGGGTTCAGGGCTTCGGGGCTTAAGATTTACATTAGAGGGTCTAGGGTTCAGGGCCTTGGCGTCGAGTGTTCAGGGCTCAGGGGTTTTAAGGTTTGGTTGCTTGGCATCACCGGAGCGAGGGTTTGAGGGTTGAGGAAGGGTTCTTTAAACCCTACACCCTAAACGTTGAACGGTCGTATTTACATGCAGAGCAGTAGGAATACGAGTTGTTCGGCACACTTGGAGACTGGGGGCGTCCTGTAAAACGAACTGCTGATCAAGTCTCTTGTCGTGATGGCTCAAACCATGTCCTCAATGTACTGTCGCGGCCATAATAACTAGAATAGGGTTCTGGTCTCTTTTTCTGGTATAGTTATCATAAAGAACCCTACGTAATAACATTGGTACTGATGTGTTGCCTTTATTTTGGCCATGGAGCAGGTTCCGTGTTTCTACAAGGTAACCGCTTTCCTACTAAGGAAGAGTATTGGTATTTAGGCTTCTATATTACGTAGCCATGGAGTAGGTTCCGTTGTTCTACAAGGTTCCCGCTTTCCTCCTCCCATGCTGACGTGCATGCTTAATAGTCCATCAAAAGCACCTGTGGAACAATGCGCCCATATGTCAACCCCTCCCCGCCCCTTTGGATGTGTCCCTGTCACGGTTCGACTCTTGCGAGTCCCTGTTGCCGGATTCTGGCAGCCACTCGTAGCGGTTGCGTCATGCCTTCGTACGTTATACGCATATAAGTAGACTACAATGGACAGGGAGGGACGGACGGACAGACAGACGGATGAATGGTTAAAGTTATCTTGCAATACTGCCGGCATCGACAGAACCGAGTCGTTGACAGATCAGAATCGCTTTTCATTGCGCGGCCCACCACAATCCCGAAAGCCTAGGGCCCCAACCCCGAGCCCACACCCTGAACCTGCCATCTCTACACGAACCCTCAATGCGCAATTGTCCCTAAACCTGAAACTCCTGAACTCTAAGCCCTTGAACCCTTCTTGAGCTAGATAGAGCATAGTGTACTACAAAACCCTGTAATGATTAGGCTCCTATATTATAGAACCCTTGTAACATGCCCTAAATCTCCAAGAGAGGACGTGGAGAGTGCCGTGAGCCTGGTCCCCGGCATCCGACCAACGGTGTCAGCGCCGTCGACCTCTCTACCTACCAATGCCACGGCCCTGGGTTTGCTCGTCTACGTGGCAATTTGGGAAGCCGTTTAATTTCCTTTTATGGCTCCTTCGGAGGTACCTTTTCATAAACAGTTTTCGGAGCCCAACATTACAACCCAGTCAGTATAGATGTAATCGGGTTCTGTTTAAGCGCTCCTGCAAAGGGTCCACAAGGGTCCTATATAGGTATGATTTGCGGAATTTAGCTCTATTGTGAAGGTCCAGTGAAGGTTTTACGGCACCATGGCAACATAATGCAATGAAGCAAGTAGCCTGAATCATTGGCGACTTCCCGAGCGGCAGAGTTGGTCATAGATCAGACCAATGGTGTCCGATAAGGCTCGCCCGATTCGCCAGTCCTTTTCGCTGCCAGGGTGGGAGACCTGCTAACGCAAGCTCTGCAGCAAACCCAGCAGATGCCGCGGGCGGGGAGGGGGGCACAAACCAGCATCTGCCGCTGCCACCGCACCACGATCCTTCATGGACGACACCTATCCGTGGGTGAGAGCGCTATACACCTGCAGTCAACGCTGACACGGCTGGAAGCCCTGGTGAAAGAGTACGCAGGGCGGACAAGCAGGGCACCGAGATAGATTGCCATTGGCGGAGCACGGTACACCCAGCGCGTCAGAGTCTGCAGAGTGATGTCTTAGCAAAAATT